TTAAACTATAATAATGTGTCTGGTCATTATTAACAGTATTAATTTAATAATAATAATAATAATAATAATAATAATAATTTCAAACTTGTATCTTTTCATTTTTTTCTTCGGTTTCATAAGCTGCCATCTTTAGTTCAAAACCTGCGGTACGAGGATTTACCGTGCATTTTGAATGGCTACATCTGTGTATCATTTTTGGCTAAAATCATATTAGAATCCAGTACAATCAATTAAACAAAAGTATTGAGACTTTTTTTCTTTAAGGTAAATTGAGAGTGTAAAGGTTCTTGCATATTCCATTAAGCCAATAGCTATATGAAGTCCATTACAGCTTTCATATACACATTCTTTATGTAATCATTTGAGATGGTTTTCCAGACCTTTGCTTCAGTGTATTCTTTGAATGTTCTCACTTTAATTTTTTCTTCAGGATTTAAATAATCCTCTTGGTCTTTTGTTTACATTGTTCACATGTTGTTGGTCATTGTTACACTGCATGGCAAAGCACCTCCTAATAAGTATGGAAGAATTTTGTACATTAGTGGGTCAAAATGTTTCTGTACACTTCAGAATTCATTCTGTTGCCATTATTATCTACATAATCAAATAAGAGATTTGAGTGTGTTTTATGTTAGCTATTATTGTGTTAAATGACTGTGTCAGAGGGAGACTGGCATAACCCAAGTCGAGCCGGTACTGCTATGTGAATTTAATGAGTGTATGAGATGCATCCTGGTGGTGTAGGGCTGAGAATGTGTGAGAAACAGTTGGCTGAACCCAGGTATAGCCAGTAGCTGCTAATTGTGTTTGAGTGTGTGAGACACAGCCTGGTGGTGTGGCATTGAGGTGCCAGTAGCTATATGCTGACAGGAATTTGAGGATCATACTAGCAGGACATGAGGAGCCAGTAGCTGCTAGTGGAGTTACAGCAAGGACCATTGCATTTTCTATGTTCTTCAGTATAATAATAATAATAATAAGTATAGCAATAGAATTAGATATTTCAAAGTTGAGGTTCACAGAAAGATACAGCTAACACCATAATAGTCAGTACTTCCCATTTTACCTTAATTTCGTTCTTCCCAAGGCTCCTATCATAATTCCAGCGTTTGTTTTCTGCTTTACAGTGATAAGCGACATGTAGACTGGGTAAAGTCATATCTGAATATCTGGACAGAGCTGCAAGCCTACATCAAAGAGCACCACACTACAGGGGTGGCTTGGAGCAAGAGTGTGAGTACTGTACTGTTTTTGTACCAACAGGATATACTGAGCTGCTGAGAAGCTCAGGTCTCATGTTTTTGCCTTCACACAGTGTCTTCTGTTGCAGCTACTGGTATATGCTAAAGCTCTATAATGCATTCTCAGAAAAAAACATTGATAAGAAAAGTTGAAACTTCTCTGAAGTGTAAAGAAAAGCATTAATATGTGTAAGTTTTAAAAAAGTTTCCCTGTTTTGCATTTTTGTTACAATGTAATTATAAATATATTGTCAGAGGCACAATTGATGCATTTGAAGACTATTTGGAACAGTATGTAATGTTTTAAAATGCTTACATATTATATAATAATATAAGAAGTGTAATAATAATGTATAATGTATCATAATAGAAAAAATTCACATAGATACAGTGAACAATAAAACACAGATTATATGAAAACAGGGCAAGTTGTTTACTCAGACATTTGAGTTGGAAATGTAGATGTAAGTTCCATATTGTACATTACAATACATTTAAGAATAGTTTTTGTTAGAATAGTATCTCAAACTGAACTTGAACTTTATTGCCATATGTAACCGGTACTGGTACAATGGAATTCTTACTTACAGAAAGTCTC